TGCATTAAGTAAACATGCTTTTTAAAGTTATTTGCATATAATTTAGTCTCGTCGAGTTTGCATTAAAAAATTCCGTGATTTTTATGTAAACTTTGAGCTTAATAAAAAAGTTCAAAACTCCGTTGAATCATGGATCATGCCATTAAGTAAGTCCACTTAAAATATCTTGAATTATATATGGTTAAAATTTGAGAAAATTTGATAAAGTATAGACAACGAAACGTAAAAGCCTTAAAATTTGCATTTTTGTCAACTTTATTAAGTGTTTTATATAATAAAATTATGGGTGGTCAGATACTTATTTTAAACCCTTTTTACGAACTAATTTATGCCAACACCGTATTGTAGATGTATGTAATCTATTACGTTGAGAACGTTTTATTAATGAAATAATATACATTACAATGAAGAAATTTGACCTTTTGTTAGATGTAAAGACTCTGATAGAAAATTTGCTTTTTTGGACTATTTGTTAAATGTTTCCATTAATACCATATCAAACCTTTCGAAGCTTTTGTAATTTGGAGATTTTGATATCAAGTACAAGTCTACTTTGTAAAGTAAAAAAGGTTTTATTTAAGAAAACGTTACTTTTTTTTTTAGTAAGGACTCCTTTCATTTGACGTTATACAACTCTTGTGGTCGGATATTTATGGTATATATTAATATTAATATGTAGATTTTATTAATAGCTCTATGCAAGGGAATTTTTATAAGATTGCTATGCAAAGTTAGCACCTTACATCAGATAATCGGAAAAAAAATCAAGCAAACTAATCTTCTGACCTGTGATTACCATGTGATTTTGGGCTAATCCAGCTTTCAACGTAAAACCATTTTTATAAGTAAACAAATTAATTTTGTATATACATTAATAAAGCTCCGAACGAATCAATGAAATTCGAACCGATTCGAATTAGAGGTTGGCACCGTTAACCGTTTTAACCGGTTAATTAATTCGGTTAAATGGTCAAAATTAACCGAATAATTTAACCGGTTAATGTTTGTGCAAGATAAATATAATAATAATCATCTTTATTATAATTAACAAATAAATAATAAATAACCGCAATACACATATAATCCATCCATCCATTCAACATTAAAACAATTGAATAATTATCTATTTTTATAATTAATATGAATTTTTTTTGAGAATTATGTTGATGAAGAAAATCAAAAGTCTGGGATTACTTTGAAGAAAAAGCAAACAAGATTTATTGCAAAGTTATTATCAATCCTCGAACAGAAATTAAATGTGGTGCAAAATATGCTAATTCTGACATCACATCAACTTCAACATTAAATTATCATTTAAAGATTTGTCATCAAATTTTAGTTAATCTTGAAGTATGTTTAGATTTTACATTATTTGTTTAATAAATGTATTTATTTATCATAATTCAAATTTTTTTAGAAAATCGATTCAAAATTAGATGTGTTTGAAAAAACTAAAGAATATCCATAACACAAGATGAATGAATTATATCTTACTGTGGTCGAATGGGTTGTATTAGACTCTTTACCTTTTAATAATGCTACACAGGAAGGTTTTAAAAGATTTATCAAGAAAACAGATCCTAACAAAAATATTATTGCAGACAAATATCTTTCAATACCTACAACGTCTGTGCCACCTGAAACACTTTTTAGCGATGCTGGTAATCAAATAACTGCAAAAAGGACTATATTAAGTTCTGAAATTGTTAACAAAATTTTATTTTAAAAAGAAATGATTTTTATGAAAATTTTAAAATAGTTAATTTACTTTAATTAAATATGGCAATGGTAATTTGTTCGTAACCGGTTAACCAGTTAAAAAAAATTATCATTTTAACGGTTAGTTAACTGGTCAAAGAATTTTTAAATGGTACCAATCTCTAATTCGAATCACCTAATTTTGATTCGAATCAGTTCGAGTCGAATTGAATCAAATTCGAACTGTATCCTGATTCGAGTATTAAATATATAATTTGATTCAATTTGATTTGAACTGATTCAACTCAACACGATTCGAACTAGTGATGGTAGCCGAAGTTTTGCTTAGTGGGCCTAAAATTGCCAAAATTAATTGGCCTAAACTTTGACGAAACTAATTTTAATGGGAGTTTTTTAAAATAAAGTAGATTGATTTAGATACTTATTATATGTATTGGACGAACCTACTTTTTTCCAAAACAGTTTTGGCTACGATCACTAAATAATATCCTTTATCAATTAAAAAATTTAAAATATACACAATCTTGGTTTAGCAGATAGTTTGGGTAATTAGAAAAATTTTTTCCAAAAATCAAACCTTATCACAGCGGATATAATAATAATGATAATTAAATTCTTATCATAACGGATTTTTAAAATTTTGCTTCACATATAAAAACATATAAAATTTTCTTCTTATTATTATTATGTGTCCCGTCTATCCGTTGTGACTATATCAAGAAATCCGTTATATTGAAGAATATTATTATTATTATTATATTAAACCTCAATATGTATTATACATTAAATTGAAGTGCACTACATTGAGATTCACTGTATTTAATATGACATTAAGAAAAATTTAGGAATCCGGTTTGATTCGAATTGATTCGAATCGAATTGACTACAGAACGAATCGAATAGAATCAAATCATTCTAAAATTCGATTCGACTCGATTCGATTCGTTCGGAGTATATATTGGTCTTGGGCAAGTAATATCTTTGTATTCATCTTTCACAAATGGGCAAATATTCTGGTAAAGCTTTTGTAATCCAAAGGTGGTGTTGTTAATGCTAAAATGGATAAAGCTCTAATTTCTTCTAAAATATCTGCTTTCTTGGTTTTCAATAAATTGAATTCAGCAAAAGGTCCATTAGCAATTTCCCGAGCTTTGACCACTCCAAAATTAATTGCTTCAAAAAGAAAATGTTGATATTTTTGTATACTTGGTAATTTCTTGAAATAAATTCCCAAAATTGCCTTAATATCTAAGTATTGAAAACCTTTTCCACCTTCATAACATTGAACTTTATTTAATCCTGCTGGACTGGACCTTTTCACTACATCAACCACATGACCCACACAATCTACTTTTGTTCTTCTGTAGAGTTTTTTAATCATGCCAAAATTACCATCACATTTGAATTTGATATGTCCTGGACCATGAAATTTAATTCAATAGTTTCATAATAACCAAATATAAATAAAACCAAATTGTTACATTGTTTTTATTTTGTCCCCAGCATTAACACAAGTAATCTTTAAATGCTTTTCACCCTTATTTAATCTCTTAATTCCATCAAAGATCATACTAAGTGTACCATTGGGGCCTTTACCTATAATTTTAACTTCATCAAGAACATAATTAATTTGTTCCCTTACTGCTTCATCTTGAATACCAAATAAATGGACTTTATGAGGACTGAGATAATATATTTTACTTATTTGTTGATCAGAATGAGACACATAAACATTTTGGGCTCACTCATAACTATAATGTGCAGTGGCATCAATACTGAAATATGGTGTTTTACCCTTTGAATAATTTTGATTATTCAATTTTCTTTGTTCCTCAGCTAATTTAGTATTTTTATTGTAATAATTTCTTTCTAATCTTGCCCTGGACAGATGTTCTTTGAATCTTTTGAGCAGATCTTTGGCTTCTTCCTCTTGGTGAGCATTGTAATGTAAACCATTTCGAAAATGTTGACAAATATCACACAAGTCAGTCCTTGGACTCATAATTTGAATTTCTAGTGTCAATTGATGTCACAACTTTCTGAAAGCATCATATTTCAAAGATTTTAATTTGCTATCTTCTTCTAGACCAGCCAGAAAATCTCTATACACTGGTTTATAACTCATTTCAGCTGGTAAGAATATAACTGATTGGGTTATCCTATTGATACTTCCTGGACTTGGTAATCCATGAACTACTGCATAATTTTCCAGAAAATTCTTTACAATTTCAGCAACATTTTTATCAATCACCATCTTTGTTTTTCATTGAGGCATTCTTTTTATGTTTCCATGAACTCTTGGTATAAGTCCATTGTTTATTATATGGTTTCTGATATTTTCAAAATAAGTCCTGCCAATCCCCAACATATTGAGGTAAGTTTCTTGACAAAGAAGTGTATTGTGATCCCAATGATAGAAAGTTCTTTTATTAGATCTAGTTTTCTTTTTAAGGCGTCTACTAGTGCTTATTGATCCACCATCCATTGCCTTAAGTTGGGCCATCAAAAATATGTCTTGTTCAGACTTGGAAAGAGCTTGAAAAGATTCCCTTAATTCTGCAAATTCTTCCTTGGGAATTCTTGAAGAACAACCACAATCACAACCTTTTTCTAAAAAATCAATTGCCTTTTGATATTCATTAGAACCATTATACTTATCATTACTTTTCATATACACTATCCCTATATATATAATTTTATGTCCACTTTGTATGTTTTTTAAAATTTGGATGAGATAAAGAGAGATGCAGAGAGACCAATCAAAGAACAAAATATTTAAAAGGCAAAGAATTAATAAATATTTGCAATATTTTATTTTCATTAATAATAATTTAATGAAAATAGTTGCTATCTTTAAATAATTATGTATTTTTCTATATTTTAGTTAGATATTAAAAAAAAAAAAACTCATAGTTGTTGGAAAACTGTTCATACCAATCAAACAATTTTTTGAAGAGAAAAAAAAGTGACATGTAGCACATCTCAAAAAAGGAGATAATGATGGTGTTGGTGCATTGGAAATTTTATAATTATAAAGCCAGCCAAATTATTTGAATTGTAAATTGGTTCAGAAAAAATCACATTTTTATTATGAAAAACTTAAAAAATATATAAAAGAATGCATACTGTTATTAAAGTAATTTAAAATACTAAATTTGATAGCAATTTTACATTTCCTTTTTTTACAAATTTATCATCTACTATGTTATCTTCCTCCTCATTTTTATGTTTTGAAACTTCAACTTTTAAATCCATTCTGAGAACATATTGAACAACTTTTTTCAAAATCCAATCATTTGATTTATTCCACCCTTTAAACTCTCTTCGGTGGTTGTCACATATTTTTGATAAGAAAAGTCTTCAAATTTATCCTTTGGAACAACAAAATACAAATAAATCTTATGATATGTATGGAGATATTCATGTAACTCTTTAAAACCATTCACCTAATATGATATATACAAATTAGTCACAATAAAAAAGATCAAAGTTCTGTTGTCACTCTCTGTCTAACCTTAATTGGGTGGTTCTTTCCCACTGTTATCTGATATATATGATCAGGTTCATGTTCATGAGGCACCAGAGAATCCACCGATTCCTGTTTCTTTTTATGTGGTCTATTGTAAAATTCTGATTTTATCTCTCTTTTAAGTATTTTAGCTCAATCTGATTTTTCAATCTATCATCATCTTTCCCATCATTTTTCTGGTAATAATCTATCAATCGATTCACCAAATCTTCTTTTTTACCATTCTTTGACAATTTAAGACCATTTAATTCTGCCTTTAATTCATCAACATTTAATGTCAAAAGCATTGTCTTTAAGGACTTTGATTCATCCTCTAAGCATTGCACAAAAAACTGACCACCTTTTTGTAATTGTTCATGGGCCAATTCTTCAAACCACTTGCCATGTATTAAACTAGCATCTGAAAAAAAGGCACCAGCTTCAATTAGATGAATAATTTCTATCTGGCTGTTAAATGCATGTTTGTGATATAGCTCTTTAGCTATTTTGTCAGAAGCAAGCTTCAAAATCTTTTCTTTAAAATTTGTTTTTAATGGATGGATATGAATTATTCTGCCATTAAAATCATCATGTAATTCTGGAAAAAACACATACCACACACTGTCAATAGTTTCCCAAATAATTTTAGAATCAGGGTAATGGTGGGTAATATAGAAAAGAAAATATAGACCAAAGAAAGTTTTGCCTATGCCAGGTGTGCCTACTATTGTACAACCATTTTTGGCATCCTTTTCAAGTTGTTCAATCATTTGCAAATATGATTTTCATATTAAAATCATTGATATGTTATTTGAGACAATGCAAAATGTGGACTTTGGCAAATGGAGCATTCCTCCCCAATTATCTGGAAGTTCCTCTTCCTCCATGTTTTCCTCCATATTTATTGTCACTGTAACTTTTAAGGTAGAATTAAAAGGGAGTGATTGAAGAGGTTCATTTGTGTCTTGGTTCATTACTCGTTTCCCATTATTATAAATCAATTGGCCATTTGAATTTATCATTATATTTTTGTTTAAAATGACATAATTACCCTTGATAGTCATAAATAGAAAAAATGGTCCCAAGGCCAAATCATTTTCATTCCAATTTGGTGGTAGAGAAAAAAAGATTTCTGCATCTTGAATTGCTTGCCAAAATTCAATAATCCTCTCAGGAGCTACAAGAACATAATTGATTGTGAATAAAAAAAAAACAAATTGAATATATAAAAACAAGTAGATATATATAACTCAAGTACATACCTTTGTTTGTTGTAGTATCTAACAAGGTAATTCAGAGTTGATTCAGGACAAAATGGGTAATAATTAGAAGATGGAATAAAAATAACCAAAGAGAAATAAGTTAATTAAAGTTGTATACAGTATACCAAATGGTCACTCAAACAAACAAACAAACAAACAAGTTAAATGAAATGAAATGAATGGAAAATAATTTTTTGTATATTTTTTTACACAATTTGTTCATTACTGTTACCTTTTCCTTTGACTTCACATAACTTCCCACTCCACTTACTGATCTCTCCTCTCCAAAACTTCTTCTTTTCTTCCAGCCTCTCTTTTTCTTTCTTTAATTCATCTCTTCTATACTCCCTCCTTGTCTTTTCTTCACCACTCCATTTCCCTTCCATTAATTCCACCTCCAAGTCATTTAACTTATCTTCACACCTCTGATGGTTTGCTTCCGCCTTCTCATGGTTTGCTTCCGCATCATATAATTCTTTTTCAATTTTTTCAATCGTTGCCATTTTGTTTAAAAAAAAAAAATTTTTAAAATGAATTTTTAAAAATTATTGATTTAGATCGTAATTAATTGTTTCTATAAATAATTTGGACCAATGATAAATTAGTGGTCACATGACTTTCAATTAAAAAAAATTTTTTTGTTGTAGAAGCAGCAACACCTTTTTCCTTCTGCAAGTAATTCGCGAATTTCAATGACCATTTCACCAAATTAAAAATCGGGATTCGATCCAGTCTTTTTATCAAATAATTGCTTAAAATCCTCCATATATTTCGATTTCGTGCGAATATTTTTCATGGCCAGTAAGTTGGTTTATTTTATTTTTAAAATGGCTTTCCTTGGTTCTATTTTATTGATTATTTGATCATTTTTTTGATTTATAACATAGAATTGATTTTTGTAAGTTTTATAATGAAGTAAGAAACTAAGCAAGAGTCCAATTAATAATCCACAAAAAAGTTCACTATTGAAAGTAAGCATTTTTTTAAAATGCTATTATGGATGAAAATATTGTATAAATATTTATTTGTTTTTTAAAATTGTTTAATGGTGATTATTAGAAGGATTTGTTATTTGAATTTTTTTACCTGAAAATTAAGTGAATTTGGTAATGTTTTTATAATGTTCCGATACAAGACGAGATTATTTACCTTGTTCCAATGTCAATGAGAGAAAAACAAAGACTTATAAACATATCCTTGAATGTAGTAGAATTTGTTCAAAAACTCAAACAACGTTTTTATTGATAAGCAATGCAATATGGTGATCATAAATTACATTTTGCATAAAGGAGAATCTTTGTAGTAATAGTCAGTAAAAAAAGATAAATCAATATTTAATAATAAAATTATTTTCCTTCTAAGGATTTCTGCTTTTTGTTAGGTAATAATACACCTTCATTCTGCTTTCTTTTTCCAACATTTATTATTTTTCTTTCTTGGTAAATTTCATAGGTAATCCTTTCTTTTCTTAGATAAGCTTCAAGTGCCTGAGTATCATTTATTTTGAAAATATGAGGGGCAATTTTTTCACCTTGTTCTTTCTTCGAAATACTTCTAATGGTGCTATAATTTTTGGGTTCCATGGTAGATCTAATGTAAATTAACTTCATATTAACTATTTTTATATAGGAGCAGTTCTATATATCACTTAACAAATGACTTAATTTTGATCCCTGAAATTCTTGTATTACCAATGTTCACTTTGTCTGGTTTTGTTGGAGTATGTCCCAAATGATAATTTAATGTTGAAGTTAATGTGATGTCAGAATTAGCATATTTTGCACCACATTTGATTTCTGTTTGAGGATTGAGCTGGTTTTGAAAACTTATTTTTTGAAATTTTTTGATTTCCAGGTTTTTACATATATCTGTCTTGTTATCTTGTCTTATATGATGGATGATATCTGTTCTGGTATACTTTTTTATTTAGAATAAGATTTTTGATTTATTTGGAAAAGACAGATATTCTGACCTGGTGTGAGGCTCAGGTTACCCAGATGGTTAAGGACTGATTAATATCTCTATTTATATATACAATTTAAATTTTATTAATAAAAATAGACAAAATTCAAATTGGCATGAGAGTAGTTTATAACCTTACATTTTAAAACTAAGTGACAATTTTTTTTGATTACTAAAAAGTTTCACTATGCTTGACTATAAAAAAAATTACATTAAAAATGAAATGAAAAATCTAAGCACCACATGTGAGACCATATATGGGGCATACTGCAACAAAACCAGACAAAGTGAACATTTGTATTACCAAGGATTTCAGGGTTCAAAATTATTATTATTATCACAATCACGTTGCAATTATAATTTAGATATATAGAATTACCTCTATATAAAAATAGTTAATATGAAACTCATTTATATCAGATCTACTATGGAACCCAAGAATTACAGCACCATTAGAAGTATTTTGATGAAAGAACAAGGTGAAAAAATTGCTCCTTATATTTTCAAAATAAATTAGAGATTAGAAATTCTGAACATCTTTTGAAGGTCTCTCATGACAAAAGTGCTATTGTAATATGGAGATATTACATTGTCATAAAATGATGAACTGAAATATTAAAATATCACGAATGTAATGTGATCAGTATAACACAAATATATATATATATATATATATTTAACTATTTTTGCGGGAAATTTCCAATTCAAAAATTATTTATTTATTTACATCATTACATAGGTAAACTCGATAAGTTGGACACTTGATAAGTCAGATTTGGCTTAACCCGGACAAATTTTTTTTCTATATTTAAAATCTCTTGATAAGTCAGACAACATATATAAACTCTCGTTAAGCTGTAAGTCAGATAAATCTCCAGCCAGATAATAATAAATTACTCTCGATAAGTTGGAACACATGATTTTATAAGATAATCTTTCCTTATTTGATAATGTATGATTTTTTAAAATTTTCTTGCCAGAAAATAAAAATGATCTTGCGCCTTTTAAACATCACCTAGAATGTTTTATTTAATAGTTATAAAACTTATGATTCAGATATAACATATTTGATACCTCATAAATATGAAAACATACAGTTCATAGATGAACACACCTATATCATAGTCTTTAGAAGGAAAAGTATTTTTAAAAACTTTTATTAGAAAAAAAAATAAGAAACATAATAATAATATAGATACCGCCCAAATTCATTTTCAAAATTCCAAATCCCAAATTACTATTAAATTACATAGTGCTCAAATCCCAAATTATTTTAATATGCCAAAATTAATTGGGGTGGCATCTATAAATAACAACAATGTAAAAATTGATCAGCATAGATAATTTCATACTAATAAAATATTGTCTCGAATGGTGACTACCTACCTGTATAGCTCTCTAAATTTTTATTAAATAAAATTTTTTGTATCATATATGAATTGATCGACAAGAAGGCGTAATTATTCTTGAACTATTTTCCAAATTTGGCAATAATCCTGACTGTATTAATATTAATTTTTATATGTAACCATATATAATTTTGATTTACATATTTGACCAACCATCCCAATGTCTCATATCCTTCTAATCAAGACCAATGTTTTATTATTAATCATAAAATTCAAGTCCATATTAATATAGATTTTTTTTTGAATACTCATGCAATCGATAGATAAATCTTTACTTATGTCTGCACAATAGAAAACAATAATAATAAATAATAAAATTTATTAATTTTATTTTAAGAAATTTTTTGTAGCTAATTTATCAAACAAATTGCTTGAAATGTTAAAAATAATAGAAAACTATATCAATTGTAAAAAAATAATAATATAAAAGTAAAGGATGATTTTAATGAATTTCAAATAAATGAAAAAGGGAACAAGAAGAAAAAAATATAATCGTTCAATTAGATAGAAATAATCAAAATAATGAATTTGTTGAAATGTTTATTTCTAATAAAAATATCTGAATCAATTAGTCATTCACTATCATGTGTTTTGATAATTTCAAGTTCATGATTTGAAAATGTTGATATATTGTTAAGTGTATTATCTTCTATTTTATTAATTAGCTCTATATTCCTTTTTAATTTACGATTGATGTAATATAAAATCTTTAACATCTTGATTAATCTTGATGTAAAGATATTGTCATCTTGTTCTCTATATGGAATCTTGAGAAGTGCAATTCTTCTTGTTCTATCAAAAGGAAAAAGATTGTGATCTGCAATTAGCACCTCAAGAACTGTGTCTATATACAGTGTGTAACGAAAAAAATTGCCTTCACGAAAACTGAAATAAATTTGAAATAAATAAGGAAATACGTTGTAAATCTCAAAACACATCTTGATTTTCAATTAATTATTATCCAAATAAACATTTTTCAAAGTAAAAATTTTGT